TGCTGATTTTGGATAAGCCTTCACCAGTTCATGACTCCTCATAAAAATCATGCAATATGCAGATACCTTGCACAATTTTACCAAAGCTAAGCAGGATTCTTTTTTAAAAAAATATATTGCATTTAAATGTTACTTTCTGGAAGACAAGTATTTTTCAGAGACCTATTCATTGCAAGAAAGTCCACCTTTAGATCCTCTTGCTGCTGTCAACTTTAGACAGTGAAAAATTTGCATACTTATAAATCAGTCTCAATAAAGGAAAACGAGCTCAGACTTCTGCCTTCCTTGTGGGCATCTTCATTTGAAATTCTCTCTGGAAATTGCATTAGTTTTCATATGAGAAGGTCTCTATAATTTGCCTAATTACCAGCCTGACAGTTTTACATGGAGCTTATATGCAGAAAATGAAAGGAATGATGAGGGAAATTCATGGAAGAGTTTTTATTTCCCCTGACAGAAATATCATCTCAACCTGATTTGCATGCTAACATTAGACATCACCCTCCAAATCTTACTGGTGGAAATATATCCACTCTCATCTATTCCCATGAAAACAGAAACCAAGGATTGACCTTTGTTCATCTTGTTCCAGAAAAGCAGCTCCAAAAAGAGTGAATTTGGGTCAGACTAAGATATTGCCTGTCATAGAAAAATTCAGCCTTTTCAAATCACAGTTAAAAGAGAAATATTATGGTATTTCTGCATTTTTTAAAAATAAAAACAATTTTTTTATTTTTTTTAATCTAGGATTTAAAAGAAAACAGATAATTGAATGCCCTTTTTTTGGACCATGTCTCAGAGCCCGAGACACAGAAAAAACTGAGTCTTGCTAATAAATTGTTGCCACATCCAGGTGACCATTCTTTAACCAGATTCATAAGAGTGTCTTTCAATATGCAGCCACTGTCAGTATTTGAACTTTAGAGAAGCCTGATGTATTGCTAACCTGTAAGACCTTCTGAGGCTCCTGTGCTCAAGACTAATGAACAGCATCCTGAATAATCACAAGTTACTTGGAAAATTCTCCAGTCACCCCCGTCTTAATTTCTCCCTCTTTAAAATCCATGGTACACTCGTCCACACATAAAGGGTTTGAGCACTTCCACTGAAGAGAGTGCAAGTGCAGAGGTCTGTACTACTGATCCCTTCATATTCATTGATAGCATATTTACAAATCCATAAACAATTGATTTAGTCACAGTATCAAGGCTAATGGGCTTTTTTCATTACAGTACTTAATCGGGTAACAGACAAACATCTTGTATGACCCAGGACCAAAAATGGCTTGGAGTCATCTTCTTCAATAAACCATTACCCATTTTATTTTAACTGAGTACTATATAACTGGAAGGTGCATGGAAATTTAGAACTTAAAAGTTCATATTATGACCTAAAAAAGAAAAAGGAATAGTATGAAGGGCCATGTAACTACATGTAGTTGAAACTATTTGACATCTCAGCTTCTGGCTGCCTCATGTGTTCTGTTTAAAGTGCTATGTACACTTGAACACATTTTTATAGGTAACCAAGACACAATGGAAGAATTTGCCTCCACATATAATACAAAATGAAAAATTCAGCTATACAGTCACATTTTTCAGATTTCCTGATTTTTTGTGTCCTCAACTATAAAACTTATTCAAATACATATATTTTTACAGAGAATATGAGATGCATTCTATCTAATACTTTATTCTTCCTTGTAACAGAAATTTACAGTCAGTTCTTTTAAATATAGCATGCGCATTTAATAGGAAAGGGATTACAGATACTTTCTATTGCTTGACATGGACAGCTCTAGCAACACTTAGAATCTCAAACTGAAATTTTCAAGCCAATTCCACAATAAGAATTTAAGTACAATATACTTCATTTACATTCTTCCTCAAGGGAGTTAGAAACACACATACCATCTTAATTAATTCATAAAAGATGGATTTAGTGTTATAACTAAATATGTCTGCAATGTGTCACTTGAGAAAATACAGGCAAGTGTCATTACACAGAGCCATCTATTCTGCTAGAGAACAAGTTAAAAAACAACAAGCTTGAATCATATACAGCATCACATAATTGTTGTTGTTACTGCACTTACAGTGGGAGCATGGAAAGTGCTGATGCCAGTCTATATTCAGTACCTAAAACTGTTCCAAAGGGAAGCTAAAATAGATTTAATGAATACTTTCAGAAAATTATTTCTGTTTTATATCTAAATAAATGGGTAAAAAAAGCTAATTTAACCATAATCCATGCCATGACCTTGGTCTCTGAAAATAGTTATACATATGTATTATTTCACTTCTTGTCTCAATAATTAATCCTAACATCATCATTTGTTTTGTATGTAGTTCATCACATATTACTTGGTCACAGAGTACAAATTAAGAACTTCTGCCACGATGAATTGACGTAAAGCAGATATCATGTAAATAATATGATGGGAGCAAGTTATCAGGCTACAAAAGCTACTTCATGCAAAGCAGCAATGTTTTTTGGTTCTGACCCTCTTACAATAAGAAATGCACAACCATCAGTGTTATCCAGCCATTCCATAGGCATAGCACATAAAAAGACTACTGGGATTATTTTCCATTTTTTCATTTCTCTCTGCTCTTCAAAGCTTCACTTTGCTTTAAAGATCAACCAGTTCCGTTGGATATTAATAAAACTGTATTTTATGCTAAAAGAAAGCTTCTCTTACTGTTCCCCATCTGTGCTCAGAAATCTTGACAACGTGGCACATATCAAGAACAGCAATGTTCATTGGGATTGGGATGTTCTAATCCCAGGTGAACCTTCACAAACAAGTTTCAGATAATCTTCATAAACCAACCTTTTTCCTACATATGTTCAGCACTCAAGTGCTGCTCATTAAAATTTACCTGTGTTCAATAATTTCTGTTTGGTATTCATTATTGTGCAGTATTCCCTGGAAAAAGGCCTGGAGTCTGCAGAATCTCATCAAACATCTACCATAACAAATTGCTGTCACTAGAAAATGCTTTTCTAAGTTTATGCACTAAATACCTAGTTAAAATCAAAGCACTAAAATTTCAGCTTTCTGAAGAAATTAGTATTTCATAGGACAGACGAAGGCTTGTGCCATAATCCAAATTAGCTGATAGGATCTAGGCATTTTCAGGCAAGGATAATGCCCTCTTACAGGAATTTCCGTTTCAGGCTCCTACAAGAAATAAAGCTGGCAGCTCGTATAGTAGTTGTTAGGAAAAGGATTCTGTGGTCAGAGCAGACTTCTCAAGGTAGCAGAAACATTTCTGATGAAGAGGGGAAGATTGTAGAACTGCAGAATCACAGAAGAGCTTGAGTAGGAAGGAACTATTAAAGGTTATTTAGTCCAAGCTCCTTGCAGTGAACAGGGACATCTTCAGCTTGATCATTTAGAGCCCTGTCCAACCTGTCTTTGAGTGTGTTCAGGAATGGATCTAGTACCTCTCTGGGAAACCAGTTCCAGTGCTTTACCACAGTCATCATTAAAAAATTGTTTAAAATTAATATAAACTTACTACCCATTGTTCTATCACTACAGGTTTAAAAGTCTGTCTCCCTCTTTCTTAAAAGCCACCTTTGAGAGGCAGAAATAAGATCTCCCCTGAGCCTTATCTTCCCTCCTCTAACATGCTCTCTGAGGCAGGGGGGAGCACACCCCGGAGGCATCAGTTTCCTCTTTCTATACTGCCTGCACAGATCTGAGAAGTCTGATCTTTTGAATCTGCCCAGGAAAAAAATTGAGCTCCGGTTGCAGCACAATGACATTTTAATGAGCTCGTTTAAAGTCATTTTTATTATAAACGCATGGGAGGATAAAGCTTTCAGCTTTATCGTAAATCCACATAGTTCAAGGGGAAAAAGGTGACTCTCCCACCAGTGTCTCTGTACATCACACTGAGCCTCACCCTCTGATCTGCCTGCCAAGTGAATTGCGCTGGTGCTGCCATTAGAGGAAACCTTACTAGCAAGTCCTGCCCCAGCAGGATCAAGTGCCTGTTACGGATCTCCTACCAGGTAGGTATTAATCATTCAAGCACAGCAACCTACAACAGACTTTTAAATGGGTGAGGGAAAAGCTGCTCCACTAAATTACAAATTGCACAGAAGAGAAGAACAACCTACTGGTAAGTGGCTGCAACTAATTAAGTAACCTGATCAGAGGGGCTACTAATGATAGTCAGTTGCTAAATAGCTATGGCTGTTAATTGTAAAAGTTTCTGGAGACTTTTGACATGATCTCCAGCAGGCTACATGCAAAGGCACCTGGATGAATAAATTATTTGCAGCTTTCCCATGTCCAGAAAGAAAATGGGTAGGAAAAATGCAGTGCAGCCTGAAAATGAATAGGTGATCATCAGAATTAAATTAATCCTTCTAAAAGTTATAAAGTCAGTTTCAGCAGAAACGTGACAAAATGGGAGCAAGTGTTAGAGTACTTAAGAATGTTCCTTTTAGTAAAAGGTGCCATAAGAATCATAGGTGAATCACCTTCAGTTACCAGTATGGTCCCATATAGCTATGTCTAACAGCAAAACAGTGGTTCAAGCTCTTTAAACCTACCTACAATTCACAGGGGAAAAAAAGACATAATCTTTATTTTTTTAACAGCCATATTCTATTTGAAATCAAAGAAAAACAAAATTAAAAACTTGATACAACAACTAATATCTCTGTTTTCTCCTGGGTGTCTTTCTGCACTCATGAGACATGCTACCGACATGCACCTAAATCTGATTTCTGATACAACAATAGTAAGAGATTTAGTACAATGGACCTGGGTCGTAGCCCAATTGCCAGTCGGCCTAAATCTTTTTGCAGCAGGCATTATAGTATACAAACAACGTGGACACCTTTAAAAAGAGTCAAATTCTTGTCTACTTTCAATATTTCATACACAAATTATTTGATACTCCACCAGTTTTCTCCATACAGATTTTTTTGCCTCTCAGTTATTCTGGAACTGCATCAATTTCTGTTTCATCTTGCTGATTTAACAGATGATGTTTTCTGAAACATTTCATACAGTTGACCCTATGACTCCATTATTGAGCTCAGACAGTTACGTTCTTCCAACTTGGCTTATCTAGTGACCTCAGTTTCAATCTGAACATCAAACCAAGTTAAAACTTAATTACAGCTCAGGTTCAAAACATGTCATTGCAACTTTCAATATAAAAGAAATTCTAGCCTATCTTTCACAAGTATATAGTCTAATCTGTCACATGATAATAGAAATCCAAGGAGAACACAGCACTGCAGACCTTGTTAGCCAAAGGTTAACTTTCCCCTTGTTAGGGAAAAAAGGTACAAAATGTAATTGGCCAGCTGTAGTCTCTTGACATTCCCTTGGAGGACTGAATTATCTAACATGAAGGAGTCTAAAGCCAAAAACAAAAGATGAGTGTGCGTTATTTTAGTTCCCTCCCTTTCTTGCTTCTTGTCACAGCTGAGTATGGTTCACATTGTACCTGATATATTAGTTGGATATTTACACTAACATTAGGGTCATAAAGCAGTTCATGTTTCTGAATTGCTCAGAAACATAACAGTTCACATTTCAACTAACACCCTAACTTCAAAGAACCTTTATTTTGAACTTCTGCCAAAACCCATAAAGTTTAACTATCACACAGCCACTGAATTTCCTATTACTTCCTTGTCTCCTAAAGTACATGATATCTTATTTTAGTGTTCCCATTACCTGTAAATATATGGTTAAGTATTATCTTCTCTGGGGTAGCACCACTCTCGCAAAGTTACAGGTGCTATTTCTCCTCCTGTAACTAAGAATCATAGCCTCCAACTCTTTAAATGTTTACATGGTTTCCATAGATCCTTTTACATACCTTGTGGATGGCAAATGTTTCTCCTCTCAGGAAAAGAGCTTGTATTCCCCATCATTCATTCAGGAAGTATTTCTTCACTAAAAGTGTGGTCAGGCATTGGAATGGACTGTCCAGTGTATAGTTGATACAGGGTGAGTTTTGGCCAAAGGTTGGACCCAACGACCTTGAGGGTCTTTTCCAACTTTAATGATTCTATATATCTATGAATTGAAGAAGTAGGGGGTCGTGGCATAAGATGAGGATTTGATATAATGCAAATTTATCTTTGTCACATGCAGACTCTCCAGTGAGTTGTCCTGAGGACCAGAATTAACAGATTGTTCTTCCAAGCAAATAACATAAACTGTTTTCAGTGTAGTGTAAAGACAATACAGTTCTGGTCTTAACTCTGACAGATAAAGTAACTTATCTTTCATGAAAGCATGTTTTATATGCTTACAATTGTTAAGGGGTATTTTATGTCTGACACATATGTTCATGACATCATCTCAGCTTTTAGTAGGATATCATCTATATATGGACATCATCCCGAGCAGAAGCTACACATTATCTTAGAATGAGATATGGTGATTTTTTTTTTTAATTACAATTTTTACAGGCTGAAATAGTTTTATTTGCATATCTGACTCTGGAGGTGATTTGACACATTGAAGCTGATCCCATTTCCTATTCTGTAATTTTCAGTCAATGTAATTTTACTATCCTCCTGGTTCTTGACCAAGTAAATAACAGCATGACAGTGTACAATCCAAAATCTGTGTGAGGATACAGAAAAAGCCACATTGCTGCAGAAAACTGGGTTTGCTCCAAATCTATCTGCTCTGGAATAATCTTGTTTGTATCATAAAGAATCATTTGCAACACTGAATGTGGAATGAAATTCTCTCTTGATGATGCCATTTGATGTAACAGGAGCAAGGTTTGGGATTGGTCCTGTAGAAGTCCTATCCAGCACAGCTATCAGGAATTACTAGTGAGACAGGAGAGCTGGATTTCGCATGGACAAGGCCTTGTGCTGATGCCTGGAAACTCACAGAACTTCTTGTGGCTAAGCACAGCTGGCAGGTTACTGTACCACCTAGCACATCCAGCCAGGCTGCTTCAAAAAGCACAGCATAAGCAGCAAAAAGGTGAGAGATGAGACACCCACAGCCTAACCTTTGACCTCCAGCCCATCCTCAGCAAAGCCCCTGAGGACAGACAGTACCACCCACTGTGCACCAGCAAGTCTATTCTGCAAATCATCTAAACATAGGCAGTAACACAATAAATTGCCCTGTGAGCAACCCAGGAACTGGTTTCCAGCAGATTTGATTGCTCTAGCTGGCTCAGTTTTAGCTGAAATATACAGAGAACATGCTCTGAATGAATCACCTCTGCCATGCTTCATGAGGCATCTCTGGCATGGATAAGCCATAACTGAGGAATTAAGGCCCCAGCAGATTGGGCAATTGCCCCATGCCTGTATCTAATGTATTTGTCTTGGCCTACATTAGTGCCTGCCTTCAAACGCTGTTTTTTTCCTTTCACAAGGTAATCAATTATGTATTCTTATCTACTAAACTAGCTTACTTCTATTATAATTATATGAATCTGGTGTCTTTGACTACACCTCGACCTGTAATCTAAAGAGAAACAGAGTATAGGCTTAAGGGATGGCACATGTACGTTGATACTGTTCAACTATTATGACATTATCTGGCACATTTTTTTTCTGGTCACAATCGCCCCTTACCTGGCAAAGTTTGAGCATCATTTTGGTAAGAAGCAATTCCAAAACATAGTAAAGGAACAAAAAAAAATAAAAGAGAAAGTTTAATCATGTGAACATGTGTTCATGAACGTGCTTGGTTAAATTAAAATTAGAGATTGACATTTTTAAAATAATTATCTCTTCAAATCAAACAAAAACTTCCAAGAGGTTGAACTCACACAGAGTCTCACAAGTGCATCTGGCAACACAAGCATGAAATTTCTGACATGTAAAAATAGATGAAACTACTAGAAACACTTCTTGGCAACTCCCTTCTAAGGTGTGTGCTTATTCCAATAAAACTGATCCAAGTTCTCAGTGTTTCAGGTAGCCATTACACACCATTCACAGATTTACAGGTCAAAATTACTAGCTTCAATACTCAAATGAATAACTGAAGAAAAAGGTTTTTTTCTTCTACAGTTTCTTTCATTTGTAGTAAATTACCAAGTCCTTACTATCTTTATTTCATGAATGGAAAATGTAGGGAAAGAGAAATATCATCCCAGAATTATCCAGTAAATGAGATAATTGAATTTATCTCATTTAGGCTTCTAGATGTTTACTTCTCTAGATGCTTACTTTCTTTTCCCTTGCCTTCTCTAGGAGCTGGGAATTTTTCATTTCCATGGCTACTAATTCCCTTTTTTTGTGGGTGTAACTTCCTGCCACTCATACAACTAATGTTGTTAAATATGTGTGGACACACACATTTAGAGAGCTAGGGAATTACAGGTTGGAAATCCTTTTCAGGCCTGGATTTCTCCTGACTCTCAGGCCCATTCCCAGGCTGACAAGCTGACTACAGCTTCAGTTAGGGAGGCAGTCTCCCAGGGTGATAACATGGTGAAAAACAGAGTGGAATTCATAATAAAGATTAATACCTGGTGTCTTTCCTGTGCGATACATACTGAGGTACTGTCCCAGGGATGTTTTTCCCAATTGTCCAGTGAACTACTGTCCTGTCCTAGCTGCACGTAACACACTTTAAATACGGGTTGTCCGTACAATAAAGTTGGCCTTTTTTCCCCAAAAGAGGTCCGTGTGTGTTGTTGTCCTTTCTCTCTCTTTGCAGCGCAGTAACCACAAATAGGAAATAACTTTTCCTGATTTTTAGCTCCAAGTTTTTCATGTCTCCCTAAGCACTGAGAAAGCCTTAGTTCATCTGTAAATTTATATGCATTTTCCAGTTACACAAGCCAACGTAACAAAGTGTACCTCTCTTAACAAACCTCTCTTCACAACTTATTTCAGCAGGCAGCTGCTACCAGCCTAACAGAAGGCCTTGTTAACATCAAAATGTGCAGACACCAGCACTGAAGATAAGGCTAGACAGCACACCAACACCTTTGATGGTCCTTGGCACAGGAATCCAGACACTGGGACTGAACCCAGACTTGCTGAAGACCACAGATTTCTGTCATATTGTCAAGAATCCAGTCCAGACTAAAGTCAGCAGTCTTAGCCTCAGAGATATCTGTTGTTCAGTGGTGAAAGATGAGAATAACCCCTTATCACTCAAGAATCTTTGCAGAGATTTTCTCAGTACACTTCTGTGAAGTATTGGAAGTGTTAGACGTCTGAGAGACCTCGATCTATTTCTTCTGCAGCCAAGTAGAAAAACTGTGGCTCACATTAGAAAGTTCATTTTTAAAACAACCGACCAGAGGCACAGTAGCTGCATCAGGAAAGGCTGTAACAGTTGGAAGGCCAGATAAATGTGAGCAAATTTTTGCAAGACTTTTGCTTCATTCTCATCTTTTTTCTTTTCGAGTCATACTTCCCAGCTGTCTTGCTGACACCCAGCAGAGTGGAAGGATGGGTTTTAGCAGCATGGAACAAAGAGTAAGAAAGTCAATACTGACCTTGTAAAGTTCCAGCCTCTGAGCATATAATTGTACTTGCCAGCAATATCTGACTGGATCATAATCTTGAAAAGTTAATTTTTAGAGATTTTCTAGGTCTGTCTTAAAAGGTACTTAATAATCGTATAAGGTATTACCTTCCATAACACGATGCAGAACAACCTCATCATTGATTTTTCCATCCCTGTTTCTTTCTGCTCAAACAACAGTACAGATAAAAGTAGTTTAACTGCTCCTCAGGTCAGCTGAGGAGAAAACTTTACTTTCCACATCCAATAGTACAGGGCACCTTTTGCATCATAAGTCCTTTACCTTATATTCGAATACACTCAGTTACCCATCCTGTCCTGTGATTAGCCACACTTCCCAGGCTTTGTTTACTTCTTAGGAGAGTCCTGCTTATAGATTCTGGAAATGAAATAGCATACAAGAAAATCAATAAAAGCTTTGGCAGTCATCTTCCTAAGGGCCTCAAACAATGTTTTGCCCCAGTTGTTGACCTCAGTGACCACCAGCAATTCAGTTTGAAAGATGTACCCATAACTAAAGTCTCACAGAGCACAACAAACATCTCAGTTACACATAAGCATCAGTTATATATAAGCTTGTAAAGGCTGATGGCAAAAAAATTAAAGAAAGCGTGAAGAATAGGTGACAGAGCATATGAGAGTACTAGAAGAAACACAGATCTCTCCCAGGACACCACTTCCAGCAGCAAAATCAAGGGAAGTAACATTGACATTTTTTCTCACAACCACCAGCCCAGTGGTCCTGATGAGCCTACAGATCCCGCAATCAGCACATATGCAAG